CTTTGATTTGCATTTCCTCTTGATTAATGACATCAAGCATCTTTTCATGTGTCTGTTGGCCATCTGGATACCATCTTTGAAAAAATGTCTATTCAAGCCCTCTGCCCATTTTTAGTCGTTTTTTTAATATATTAACTTGTGAACATTCTTCATATATTTTGAGTATTAATCCCTTTTCAGATGTGTGATTTACAAATGTCTTTTCCTATTCAGTAGGTTGCCTTTTTGTTTTATTGATGGTTTCCTTCACTGCACAGAAGCTTTTCAGTTTGATGTAGTCCCATTTGTTTATCTTAGCTTTTGTTGCCCTTACCTGAGGAGATAGGTCCAAAAAAAGTATTGCTAAGACTGATGTCAAAGAGCTTACTGCCTAGGTTTTCTTCTAGGAGTTTTATGTTTCAGATCTTACATTCAAGTCTTTAATCCATGTCTGATTTATTTTTGCATGTAACTGTCCAGTTTTCCCAGCACTATTTATCAAAGAAACTCCCATTTCCCCATTATATAATATTACCTCCTTTGTTATAGATTAATTGACCATATATGTGGGTTTATTTCTGGGCCCTCTGTTCTATTCCATTGATCTCTGTGTCTGTTTTCATGCCAATGCCATATTGTTTTGATTACTATAGCTTCATATTGCAGTTTTTGTCAAAGTTTTTTCAGTCTTGTGCAATTCCATACATTTTAGGATTCTTTGTTCCAGTTCTGTGAAAAATGCCATTCGTATTTTAATGGGGATTGCATTGAATCTATAGATTGCTTTGGGTAGTATGGACATTTTAACAATATTAGTTTTTCCAATCCATGAGCATAGTGTATCTTGCCAATTATTTGTGTCATCCTCACTTTCTTTCATCAGTGTCTTATAGTTTTCAGAATATAGGTCTTTCACCATGTTGTCAAGTTTATTCCTAGGTATTTTATTCTTTTTGATGCAATTGTAAATGGAATAGTTTTAATTTCTCTTTCTGCTGGTTCATTGTCAGTACACAGGAATGCAGTTTCTGTATATTGATTTTGTATCCTGCAACTTTGCTGAATCTAGTTTTTAGTTCTAATAGTTTTTTGGTGGAGTCTTTAGAATTTTCTATATATAGTATCATGTGATCTGCAAATAGTTTTACTTCTTGCTTTCCAATTTGGATGACTTTTATTTATTTCTGTTGCCTAATTGGTCTGTGCAGGACTTCCAATACTGTTAAATAAAAGTGGTAAGAGTGTGCATCCTTGTCTTGTTCCTTGCCTTAGAGGAAAAGCTTTGAGCTTTTCACCACTGAATATGGTGTTAGCTGTGGGTTTCTCATACATGGTCTTTATTATGTTGAAGTATGTTTCCTCTATACCAACTTTGTTGAGAGTTTTTATCATGGATGGATGTTGAATTTTGTCAAATGCTTTTTCTGCATCTCTTGAGATAATCCTATGGTTTTTATCCTTCATCTTGTTAATGTATATTACATTGATTGATTTGTGGTATATCACATTAATTGATTGATTGATTGATTTGGTGATATTGAACCATCCCTGAAATAAATCCCATTTGATTAAAGTGAATGATCCTTTTAATGTGTCATTGAATTTGGTCTGCTAATACTTATTTGAGGATTTTTGCATCAGTGTTCATCAGAGATACTGGTCTATAATGTTCTTGCGTTGTGTTTGCCTGGTTTTGGTATCAGGGTCATATTGGCCTCATAAAATGAATTTGGAAGTGTTTCTTCCTCCTCAATTGTTTTTGGAATAATTTGAGAAGGACACAGCTTAACTTTTCTTTAAAGGTTTGGTAGAATTCACCAGGAAGGCATCTGGTCCTGTTTTATGGGGGTTTTTAAATCACTGATTGGGTTATTTGTTTTTTTTCTTATTGCTCTGATTCATCTTTGAATCTCACAAACATATGCTCCACTACTTTGCCCCATTTCTGTAGACAGGGGTTCATGAAAATTGGATGGCTGTTAGGGGGTGGACACAGAGGCATATCTGCATATACTGTCAAGGTCCTGGCTGCATCTCAGGTATATTCAGCACTCTAACTAACCCTCTAATTAGCACTTGTGGAAACAATAGGCAGGCGTGCCAGCTGAGGAAAACTCTTGAGTTGGACAGATTGGTCTATAAAAGTTTTTGTTGCGTCCTCCCAAAACCCACATGAGGTGGCTTTCTAGGAGAAAAGCTTTCCTTGTCCAGGGGTCACACTCTTAGGGGTCATTTGAAGGAGTCAGTTTCAGTTTTGTGGTGTGGGAATTACTCCAGGCTGAACTAGAGAAGTATAGTCTGTATAGGAGAGGTCAAGACTAAGGAAGAACAAACTGGAAATCATATTGGGAATCTTCAGTGGTTGGGGGTGGTGGTCATTTTTTAAATCAGGAAACACCTATTAATCACATGCCTAAGCCAGGCACTTGGCTAGGGAGTTAAGAATTGCTACTTGGTCAAAGATAAGTCAGTCTAGTTTGTATCTGTCAAATTGTAGACCATGGAGAAGCATTGGAAAACTCGATGCAGAAATGGGAGAATACTAGCTATTAATCTCTGCCTCATGCTCCTGCCTTCTCGACACTACAAGTTTTTGCTTTGACTTCCTTCTTTGACAATTTAGGTAAAAAATATAGTGGTTGATTTAATGTTGGTCATGTTGGAAAGAGTGGAGGAAAATAAAAGGTAGTTTTCCGTTATTACTTAAAAAATCTGCAATCATTACCTTAAAAGTCTGCTATTTGGACTGATTATTTGGGAGACTTGGTCATACCCAGTTCATAAGATGACTAAATGAAATGGTGTATGTGAAAGCTAGCAAAGTCAGGGTAGTAGGTTTTTTTCCCCTTTTTCTCTTTTTGTCTGTCTATGAGGAGAGATTACTAAGCAAATTAATAAGTAAGCAGGCAAACAAGTAAAGTGCTCTTTTATTTAATAGCAGAGGCATTTAGCAGCAGGCCTCTATATACCAGTGAATTTGCTAATTATAAATGAGTCCCACGTAGTATTTAAAACATTTACAAGGTTCTTAGAAGCATTAGCATTCTGTCCCCCTTCCACTTGTAGCAATGTGACTGCAATCCCCAGAATAATTTTGCTTTTAAATGTTCTACTAAAGGGTTCATGTACTTAAACCAACACTCCCTATTTGTTCCACTCCCCTTCCCTGATTGAAAACTCGGAAGCCAGCACAGGCAGGCCGAGCAGGAGGGCGTGGCATTCAAGGCCTTTGCCGTACACACGGGGATCCAGCCAAAGCAGACTTTGTCGTCCTTAAGCAGGCAGTGCTCTTTGCCTGTAGATGGGCCTTTGCTGCATCTTCATCTGATGAGCTCCTGCTCATCTTTTGCAACGTAGCTCATAAACCTCATAGCTTTCTCTGAGCCACCTTTTCTAAGGCCTGTAGGTACTTTGCCCCTCCCTCTACTGAATTCCCATCACACTTGTCTCATATCTTTGGGGACGCAGATCACATTATATGTCAGTGATGTGTTCACAAGGCTCTCTCCTCCACTGGACTGTGAACTCCTGACAAACAGATACTGAACTGGACTCATTTCTTAACTTTCCCACCTACCCCAAAATACCTAGCATAGTTGTTGACCCAGTAGACATTTAGCTCATACTTGGCAAACGTTATTATTAGGTGGAGAAACATAAATGACAGTGTAGTCTAAAAGAAAACCTTATTAAAATGGTGGGGACTTGAAAGTAAAGAATAGAAGAAATAGAAAAAGGCTAGAAGAAAAGAGATCAGAAAGAAAGGGTGGGAGTAGAGAGGCCCAGGAAGGAAACATATAGGAGGGCGAGGAGTAAAGGAGTAAAGCGCAGGTGCTGGGAAGCCAAGTAATACTGAGAAAGGGAGGTGTGTGCGATTAGGACACCACAACTAGTTGTCACTTCTCATCAGTATTCCTGGTCAGTTCTGAAGCTCCATCTGTCCCCACTTTTCCCTAGAAGCAAAGAGGGGTGGAAAAGGCCAAAGCGGGGAGTGAGGCAGCAAACACTGTACACTATGGGCTTGGCCTCTGCCTTTGGCCTCCCCTTCCTCAGCGTCGCTCTTCTGATCCAGGACTGGGCTTTGTCTCCTTTTCTCGTATCTACATGGAGGGTCTGTGTATACACAAGTCATATATGTGAGAACAAATGGGCATGTGTGTGCATGCTTATTTCCCATTGAGGTGTTTTAACTCTGAAAAGAAGTCCAAAGGGCAGTGTCACAGCAAGCCCCCAGCTGTCCCTGCCTGCAGCCTTGCAAGAGTAGAAAAACCTGGTGTGGCCCCTAGCCTGCTGAACACATTTACAGTGCATGAAGGGTGAGATACTATTGTAATGATGCATGTAAACATGCCATAGTATTTATTTGTCTTTAACATGAAATGACTTTCAGACTCATCAAGCTCTCTTCCTCACAGGGGATGTGCCACTTGATGGTTGAAGCCTTTTGGAGTTATTTCTCGGGTAATCAAAAAGTGTGTTGTCCCTATAGAAAAAGTAGCACAGTGCAGCCCTGGATAAAAGTCAGGAGCCCAGGTAGCTAGTGTGGGGCTCTGTCTGAGGCTGAGTTCTCTCATCAGTCAAATGGGAGTGATCTCACCCACCTGCCTCAAAGGGTTACTGTGAAGATCAAATCACACGATTATCTAGGACCCTATATGTGATCAACATTTCAGTTTCCAGTGATTTCTACTACCATTCTCTCATCTGTCTGATCCTCTCAACAACCCTGCCAAATAGTTTGATCCTCATTTTACAGATGAAGAAACTATAGCTCAGAAAGAAGAGGTGACTTGGCCAAAGCCACATATCTAAAAAACCAGGATGATGATGCAAGTTGTATGTCTTCAAAGTCATCTTCAGTTGTCCTTAGACACAAACCTGGCTCCTCAGTGCTATTGGCTTCACGGCCTCTGTTCCTTAACTTCCCTCGTGGCTCCTCCACCTCTGAAGGTGCTCTCTGCAATGAATTAATTAGCTTTTGTTTTGTTCCCCCTTTCTCCTGTACTTTTTCTGGCCCCTAGAAAAAGACACCAGCAGCCCCAACAAAGAAAACCAGCACCACCTTCAACATCGTGGGAACCACCTACCCCATCAGCCTGGCCAAGGACACTGAGTTCCCCGCCATCTCCAAGGGCGCTGCCCCCAGTGCCTCCTCAACCCCGACAGTCATTGCTTCGCCCAAGGCCACCTATGTGCAGGACATCCCGACGGAGACCAAGACCTACAACAGTGTCAGCAAGGTTGACAAAATTTCCCGCATCATCTTTCCTGTGCTCTTTGCCATTTTCAATCTGGTCTATTGGGCCACATACGTTAACCGAGAATCAGCTATCAAGGGCATGATCCGCAAACAGTAGGCAGTGGTGCCACAGCAACCAGAGCGCTGTATACCCTAGTATGCATCCGAACTCCAGGCACCCGACCTCCAGGGCTCCCCTTTATGTGTTTCAGGATTCTTCTTTTTAACCCTCTGCCAAGCTGTCACTTCATATTTATGAATCTCAGTGAAAAACAAACATAGAAAGAATTACTTCTCCCTCTAACATTGCTGAACATGTCCTTATCAGAGCCAAACACTGCCGTTTGTCCAGTTGCTCATCTAGTGGGACATCTGGCTGTTGGAGAGGTCTAGATCCAGGAGGACTGTGGGGTGGTCCGGATCAGATGATTCTGACCCATTAGGAAGACAGGCTGGGCTATCCCATGTGGTCCCTCCTGGCACCTTCCCTACCTTCAGCAGGGTCCACAAGCCATAAGTACTGATAACAAGGGCAGGAGCCAGTGCTAACCTCTGAAAAGGCCCACCCAGCCCGTTTATTGGCTTGGGGGTTAGTGGACACAATTGAGGCTCACCAGTGTTTACCATATTATGGACAAAACACCAACTTGGCCAGCCAGACCCCAAGATGGCTGGTGTCCTGCCATGTCTAGCCCCTCAGAAAAATAGTACACTCTTTGGTATATGTGCCCCCAAAGTAAGCCCTGTTCTCTCAAGCTCTTTGTCTCCCTTGAGAGCTGGTATCCCTTGTAGCCAGCTGGCCACTGCTTAGTTTGGTTTCATTACCATCTACAAATTCTTCAGGAAAAGGGTAAAGTACTTTTTAAATTCATACTAAAAAGAGACAAATGGGAACAAATAACTGCACAATAATTTAAAAAAGATTAGAGAGCAAAGTCACCTCCTGCCAAGGCAACTAGTGAAATACTGGATAGGGCTAGAGATTTGGACTGGGTGGTAGTTGAGACTTGAAGTCTGGCTCAAAAGAGAGGGCCACGGGCAAGCAAAAGTTGCATTTTTTCTTCCATACCCTCCACACTTGAGCCCCTAGCTCAGGCGCAAGGGCTTTGCCCCCCACCCATCAGGGAGCTCGGGTCTCTGTTGATGCAGATTATGAGGGAGCTGCGCTGGAGTTTTGAGTCAGCGAAATCATTCACTTTATTGCCAGTTTGATAATATATTATTTAGATCATTTGATCTCATTTGTTATTGTGTGCAAAAGGAAGCTATAATTGTAAAATTTTTATAAGGTAGATAAACTGAGTCTCAGATATTTGAATGACTTGCCTAGGCTTCTTAAAAGGGTCTGTAATGAAGTGCAGTTTGGTCGAACACAAAGATTTTTAAAGTCACAATGTGTCACCCAAAGAGACGAGTTGCATAGATCGAGCTCAAGGGGATGAGATTAAGATGGCAGCCCCAGCCACTAGTCCAGAGTATCCAGGAAGCCCCAAGTTAAGCCACAGATGGCACCAAAACCATTCTCCCTGCCCACCCCCTGAACAGAGCCCCCAAGGGGTCTATCATTAGCTGCTGGTTGCCCTTGCACACATCCTTCCCCTGTCCCCTGCTTCCATGCCACTGCTGGGATAATGCATGCCAGTCCCAGACTGTGTCTATAGGTAAATTCATGACTAGCGGAGTGCGGTGTCGTGACTCTGGGGGGGTGGGGGTGGGGGCGCTGTTCATGACTGTCTTAAGGAATTCAGAATGGAAGCCTGACCTTTGCCTTTCTGTAGAAATTTGTGTTTCCAAATGCTTTGGTGTAATGTTTAGTGGCTGTTTATTAAACTTATGAATTGTACTCAGGCTGGAGAACTTGTTCTGGTCCCTCTTTGCCTAACACAGGGAGTCCTCTGTTCTTGGCTGTCACCCACACTTCTGTGCCCCCTTTACTTGCCACTTTTTAACACCTTTGAAATAAGCTGGGGAGGTGGGGAAAGACAAGTACCAAGTGACGTCACTCATTTGTGGAGTATAACAACAAAGGACAACTAAAGGAAGAAAACAGCAGCAGAATCACAGAGTCCAAGAAGGGACTAGGGTTACCAGAGGGGAGGGGGGAGGGAGGGAGAAGGGGATTGAGGGGCATTATGATTGGCACACATGGTGTGTGTGTGGGTCACAGGGAAGACAGTGTAGCACAGAGAAGACAAGTAGTGACTCTGGCATCTTACTACGCTGATGGACAGCGATTGCAATGGGGTATGGGGGGACCTGATAATATGGGTGAATGTTGAAACCACAATGTTTTTCAACTTTGGTTGGCTCAGGGGTCTCATTACCTCAGGGGTCAAAATAACAGAGAGAAGTGCACTGCTTCCTTTCCTAAATTCACCCACTTCCAGTAGAGAAAGGTATTTTCATTGTAATTCTAAAGGCTTTCTTTTTTCCACTGGTAACTATTTCCCTTAGGCACTAGTTCCCTTAGGTAACTGTTAAGTGTCTGGTTAGTTGATCCATGTGCTGGGAAATGAATGATGATCCTTATTTCTTACAAAGTTAGGAAAAATCTGGGAAATTATCTCATGAAATCTGCTTGAGGAAATCACCTGGTTTCTAAGGGGTGGGGAGTATCTCTTTGGGAGAGCATTTCAAACCACGTAAAAGGTTTTCTTGTTTGAAATAGATCAGGACCTTGGCCAGTCTGACCATCAGTACCTGGTCCAGCTCCATGGTCACCTGATCGATGCCCTGTGCTGCAGCAGTCTCAGAGCCTGGCCAGTTCAGACATACCCCCTGAACATGCATGAGAGGTACCCACGACAGCCTCCCTAGCAAAATTGTGTGGTACCAATATTGTGTTGTTACCTTGAGAACCTTCAGAAACCACTTTATCTCTGGAAATGTTTCCTCTGGTTTTAGGGAAAAGTTCAAGAGGTTCCCATCAGCACTTCTGGGACCAGTATCTCTACACTATAGTATTTTTAAGTATTTTATGGCATCCAGAGCATCAGAGACAGTCCTAGCAGTTCTAGAGGCTGCTGGAAGAACGTCTGACTCATAAAGAGGCACTCACTGAATATTTATGGAAAAGTGAATGCAAGTCTAGATCAGAGCTGCCTGAGAGAGGGTTCCTTAGGGTGGTGTTGAGAGGAAACTGGCTAAATTATGATCGATGGAGACTAGTGGGAACAAATGCAAAGAAATGCAGCCTTCTAAAGCAGCTCTAAGGGTATCCAAGTACTAATAAGTGTGCTTGGTTTTAAGTGCTTTTAACTAACTTTTTCCTACTTAAATAATTGTTTGCTTCTATGGGATTTAAAATTTGGGGGTTCATTTAATGACCTACTAGTTCCTCATGCTAAAGTACTGAGGGCAGGAGAGGAAGTCTCCTGTGTACTCTGCCCATCTGAAAGTCTCACACATGGCCCACTGGCCCATCTAGGATGCACCTGTGTTATGACACCCTTTAGAAGGCTTCCCAATCACAGTTTGGGAAGAAGGTCCTCTGGAACTCTGACTTGTCCCAAGATGTCTAGCAGGAGATGGAACAAACAAGGGAAATGGAAGAGAAAGGAAATAAATGGAAGTTCTGGCAAAAGGGCCTGAGAATTGGAGGCAGGCATCACTCTCCAATCTCAACAGCTTCTAATTACTCAAGCTTCCATTCACCTGGAAACATTCATTGTCTGCTCATCCACTGGAGTGAGGCTAGCAGTGCCTGTCCTTGCTGACCGGGCAAGCCACTCTCTGGTGCCTCCCATCTTTGCCACCAGAGAGCAAGCTGGACATGTTCTGCCTGGCTTCGTCCTCAGCTCCAACAATTTGGTTTCATGGGGAAAGCATTGAGAAGAATGAACACCTGAATTTTAGCACAATTGCCGTGTGAGTTGGGCAGGTCTCTACAAAAGCTGAGACTTAATTTCCCCATTAGCAATATGGGGTTCCTATCAGAGCCAAGTCAACAGAGTGACCTTTCCAGCCTCTTTCCTGGAGGTCCATTCTACACCCGAGTGTCACCACATCCTGGAGCCCCCACCCCAGCTCACCCCAGACACACAAACCTCATTCTCTGGTTGCCTGTCACACAGCTCAGATGGGCTGGCAGCCTTAAAAGAATTCAATTAAACACCAAGGATGGACAATTAGGAGGCTAAACCTGGGAATGTAGGGCCAGACCCTCAGGGCTGGTACTGACCTCCTCAGCACCCCTACCATATGCTTGGCCTGAGCGTGATGTACCAGAATGTTACGTGATGAGATTCAGGATTGTTAGTGGCCCAGCTCCAGTCCCAGCATGAGAAAAGTTGGGTCCTCAACTGGAAAGATTAAGGGGGTATGGATGCCAGGCAGAGGACCCCCAGGGAAGCCAAGAGCACAGGTTGGGGAAAAAAACATGTTCCCTTCGTTTTTCCCTTCAAATAGTCAACTGTGGGGAGAACGGAAACCCTCACAAGGGAACTCCCTAAACTTCTTGTGGCCAACAGAACTCATGGGATCTGCACACACCATCTCCCCTTCTGTCACAGACAAAAGACGGCCTCCCTTCTGTCTGAGATCAGTCCCTCCTTTGTTCTTCATCCCTGTTCCGCTCCTCTAAAAGAATTTTACTTCTGTTTTCTGCTCTCAGTGAAGCTGCTTTTGCTGAGTCACCACTGCCCTAGTTACTAAAACCTAGGGCATTTTCCAGTTATCTTCCTTGACCTGCCAGCAGCATATGACATCGCTGAAATGACTTAATTCTTGGGTCTCCATGATACCATTGTCTCCTCACAACCCTGCTGCTTACCCTGCTAACCTTTCTATTTCTCGTGTTTTTCCTTTTCAACTTCTCCCGTTCCTTAAAGGCTGGGGTTCCCTACAGTGTTTTCTCTCTTCTCTTTTCACTCTACACACTGTCCCTGAATGATCTCATCTGTCCTGATGGTTTCAGTTACCACATATTTCAGTTATCTTTTGTTGCATAACAAAGCACCCCCAAATTTAATAGCATAAAACAGCCATATTCCCATGGGTCAGGAATGTGCATAGGGCACAACAGTACCCAGGCCCTCAGATAGGAAGACGCAGACAAGCGGGGGTGACTGAACAGGGACACTGGGATGGAGGAACCACTTCCAGATTCTGTACGATGGGATTCTGTGGTGAGATTCAGGCATCTTAGCTGTCCAGCTCCAGCCCCATTCTGCAGGGAAAACTGAGAAAGATGAAGGAGGTTCTGGGGGCCAGGCGAGGGGGTGGGGTCCTTCACTCACATGTCTGGCAGCTGTGATGGCTCAAGAACAGGTTCAACTGGAACTACTGGGTACATCTGGCCTTTCCTTCCAGCTTCTCCCAGCATGGCAGCTGGTTACTGAAAGGGAGCATCTCCAGAGGAACCTTTGGAGAAGAAGCATTCCAAGAGAGCCAGGCGGAAACCGCATGACTTTTACTGTCCTAACCTGGGAAGTAGTTGCATTCTACCCGTTATAACAGAGTAACTAAGGCCAGCCCGGATTCAAGGAGAGGGGCACAGACTTCAGCTCTTAGTGGGAGGAGTGCCAAAGAATTGGCAAACGTGTGTGGAGACCGCCACACCCCCTTGATGCTGATGACTGCCAAGCCAACGTCTCTAGCCTAGTTCTTTCATGTCAAATTGAACATATTCAAAGCAGAACTCTTGACTCCTCCCACCCACACAATTCCTCCCTTGGTCATTTAACAATAAATAGAAGCATCATTTGCCCAGATGCTTTAGCCAAAAACCTAGGAGGAGTTTCAGACACCTCTTCTTCATCCCCATCCCCATCCAGCACATCTGACATTGTTACTCACTCGGGCTCTAACTTAAGTATCATGTTCTCCTCCTCACCTCCACTACCAGCACCCCAGTCTAAGCCTCCAACACGACCTCCCACCTAGGTCACGACAGAGCTGGCCTTTTAAACTGTAAACCAGATCATGCCACTTTCCTGTTTAATACCTTTCAAAGGCAGCCTGCTACACCTAAAATAAACCCAAAATCTTAACCCTGGCCCATTCAGCCTCCTGTTACCACATGCCTGCCTCATTCACAATGCATCAGCTATATCAACTGCACACCAAGTCCTAATATGTCTGAGAGTCTTTATGCAGGGTGTTCTCTCAGTCTAGAATGTTCCTTTCCTTGCTGCCTTGACCTGGCACTCCTACTCATCCCTCGGTTCACACCTGAAAGGTCATGTCTCTCATGCTTGTCTTCCATAATAGAGCAGCTGTGTGCCTGCTTCCATTATACTCTGTATGGCTCTTACTGCTCCAGCATTCACCACATTTCATTGCAATGAATGCACTAGACTAAGCCCTGTGAGGAAGAGCTGCCCCTGGATACCACTGTGTAAGGCCAAAGCCACTGTCCAAACTCAGCAAATACTTATTGAATAAAATAGCTTCCGAACTGGGCTTTAAATGATGATTCAGTCTTTTCCAGGCAAAGAGAAAAAGGGCATCAGGATGGATGCAAAAGGTCCGGAAGTGAGAGAGACCATAATGAGGTATGTTGCCAAATATATTTGTCCTAACTCTCCAGGAGAGATGGATGGTGAATTTAGTGACTCTGGACTGAAGAGGTGGTGTGCGGTGCATAACCTGCCATCTACCTGAAAACCAGGCAGCATGCCAGCATCCTGATGACTTGTGATCCCAGAAGGTTGGTTCCTATAGACCCAGAAAGATTCCAGTAGCACATGTGAGCTATTTGGGGTAAATCCACTTGCTTTCCCCTAGGGTTGATGGCTGCATGCCAGCCAACCTCCTTTAGACCCAGGGTCTTAGAGTTTCCCATCCTTGCATCTGCTGTCCAGCCTTGCTGTGCAACAAGCACATTCACTCACACTATTCAAAGCCTACAGACC